TGGTACCACATGCAAGGGACGTCCAGTGATGAGTTAGTTATCACGTTCTTTTTGTGTGCTGAGAGGAAGAAGCATCCGTGAAATCTAGCTTTTTCTTTCAAGTTTGATGTGTTCATGAAAGCAGGGAAGGAAAAGAAAATTGAAAAAATATTGGAAAAAAAATAGAACAACAAAAAACGACAGCAAAAAACCACCTTCCCTTTGAAAAGTTTTTTTTTCTTGGTTGTCATTCTTTACAAAGTGTCTGGATGTTACCAGCAAATAAATAATAATGTGACTGAACTGTAGTAGTTTCTGAGCAAGCTCTCAGAAACTTTCTTTCGAGCTTTGCTGTTAGTAAGGGCTTGCATTGCATCCAGTCTCAAATGCGGTTTTCTTCTAGGTCATTTTGTGTTTTATGAATTTAAGCTGCCTAAATGTCCAGTGACATAGAATCCCTAAATCTCTCTGGGCAAGGTGTTTCTAGGCTTAGCCTTCACCTAGTGGTGAAGAATTTTTTTTCCACGTGGAAAAAATTCCCATCTAGTTATAATTTCCCATGTTTGAAATTATGACAGTTATCTATGCTTTTCCCTTTTTTAAAAAGATATTTTTCTTTCTTCCTACTGTGCACTTTTAAACTGTTTATTCTGTAACTCCACTGTTGAAAACAGCAGAAGGGTTATTCCTTCCTTCCCACCCACTGCAACTGAACAAACCCTCTTCCTTGAGCTCTTCCCTGTATGGCACACACTCCAAGTTCCTCACTGTTTTATCAGCCCTTCTCTGCAAGGTGGGAAAGAGTAGTGAATTGCTAACAAAAGCTACGCAATCATTTTAAACCACTGAATCAATTAGTGTAAAGACAATTCCTTTTTACTTTCTATAGCTTCTGCTGAGACAATGGCCTGTTATCTTCTCAGTGTGACTGTAGTGTGAGGGGAGACTCAGTTGAAAGGGATGGGGAACGGTTATGCATGCCATTCCTGACTCATCTGGGTTGCTTCCACCAATTTGGAGATACAGTTAAAAAGCAGCTTTCCAGGAAAGTACCTGTAAAAATACAGGTTACACTGCAGGCTTGTGTTAATGAAAACAGTTATGTGAGTGAATGGAAGAATGGTCGGTCTTGGAGAGCAAAAGTGTTGATATTTTGGGAGGTATGCTGGCAGGTTTGCTTGATGTTCCGACAGTTTACACATTCATTATACTTAAGTTTGTTGTGCAAAATAAAACATTTTTTCGTAATGAGAGTTTTAAAAAGGAGAAGTGAGATGTTTATGTACACGTGTATCTTTTGTGGTATGCCTACTTTGTGTTGAACTCTATGTGCAGACAGAGCAGAAGAAGAATGAAGGCTTCTGTCAGCTCACAAAATGGAAAAAGAGAAGTTGCTCCAAGTAGTTTATTGCCTCTAGAAAAGTATAACTAGATTATGTAACTTACTGTAGATAGTAAGTAGTTCCAGCAGTTGGTGATCAGGAGCAGAATTGCTATGCGATGAGACAGAATCATTTGTCTGTGAATCCCAGCGGAAAAGAAGGTGAAGTGCTTACTTGCTCAGGTGGAAATTGTCCTCATTCAGCTCTTTGTGCTGGTCACAGTATTTTTTGTATTTCTCCCACTGATGATGGTCAGCTTCTCTTCCCCTATTTCCCTCACTCCCTTTATTTTCTTTGTCTTGCAATACCCAACTGGAATTAGTAATGAAAATAGGTTTTATATTTTTTTTCCCCTGTGGTTGCCAGCTTAGTCTCTGTAGGGTTTTTGAGGTGCTGGTTGATTTTATCATGGAATCATAGGTTTGGGTTGGAAAGGACCTTTAAGATCATCTAGTTCCAACCCCCCTGCTATAGGCAGGGGACGCCTGCCACTAGACCAGTTACTCAGAGCTCCATCTAGGATGGCCTTGAGCACCTTCAGAGTGAGGACATCCAGAGGATCTCTGGGCAAGTGTCTCAGTAACTTCGCACTAAAGAGTTTCTCCCATATATCTAGTCTAAATATACCCTCATCCAGTTTAAAGCCATTTTCCCCTATCCTGTTCCAACATGGCCTTACAGAAAGTTCCTTCCCAGCTTTCCTCTGTGCCCCCTTCAGATACTGGAGGGTTGTTGTAAGGTCCCCCTGGAGCCTTCTCTTGTCCAGGCTCAGGATCACCAATTCTCTCATCCTGTCCCTGTAGGGGAGCAGCTCCAGCCCTCCAATGATCTTCATGGCCCTTGTTTAGACCTACCTCAAGTGCTGAATGCCTTCTTGTGTTGGGAGCCCCAGAACTGGATGCAGTACTCCAGGTGGGGTCTCATGAGAGAAAAGTAGAGGTGCAGTCACCTCCCTCAACCTGCTGGTCATGCTTTTGTTCCTGCAAACAAATGGAAGGTGTGCACACTGAGTTCATAAAGGCCATTCATGATAAAAATGATAGTAAAAAGAGAAACATTTTTTACTGTGTATGTTCTACTCCATATTTACAGAGGCAAAGTCGATTTTGAAAATAAATAAGCAGGATGCTTAGTTGAGCCCTGCCCTTCTGTTTAATGTTTTTGTGACCCAAAGGAGAAGGAATGTTTTGCTTTTAGTATAAGCATTCGTCATCAGGAGCACAGAAGGAGAACAGAAGGGAGAAGCAAGGTGAATAGCATAGCTTTATTATGACAGTTTATTATCTCTGATTTTCACTTTAATTTAGGAAAGACTTCAGGAATTACTCATTCAAAAGCAACTTGGAGAAAATCTTCATACTTCACATCAATTGCTCTTATGCTTGTTTAAAGCATTGTAACTCCTCTGATATAGGAAGCCTTCTGATCCATCTTGGGCTGAAAGAGCACATGATGAAGCATCACTGTTGCTGTTGCTCTGGATTTGTGATTTTGCTTTTTCTGGGGCTTTAGGGTTTAACTTTTCTCTTTTTTTTCTGGACAAAAACAGTTTCTTTTTCTTCCGTGGTGTCAGTGAACCTTTTATTTAGAGTTTTGACTTTTTTTTTATTCTCACACATGCACATGGCAGTATTTTAAAATTTTAGTTAATACATATGAAGACAAAGGTCAGAACCATTGTCCCAGCATGATTTTTTTTTCTTTTAAGATTTGTCATAGGGGTGCTAAAGCATAGAGCTGTTCTGTCACCTTTCTATAATTGACTGTATTGCTGAACATTGAGAAAGTGCTTGACTTGCAGGTGAAGAACAAATTATAACAGAACATTTTCATGTCTCAGAGCTAGTCTACAAAACAGCATTATGAAGGAGACAATCTTACAGAAGTGTGTTCATTTGTTGTTTTTTGTTTGTTTTTTTTTATATGACAATCTCCAGTGGGCAGAGTTCCCTTGTGACTGTATCCTGCATGTTCAATTTCCTAATACTTTGAGGAAAGCAGAGCAAATTCTTTGTTGGGCATCGGACTGGGAGTTTTTACCTTGCTACTCATGATGTCTCAGTTTATACATTCTACTGCATTTTCATTTTACCTGGCTGAGCTGCTTAACACAATTACTGATCACAACATAATTTTTTTCCTACTTAGCTCAGCTGTGAACATGGGTTTTCTGGTTATAAGTTGCTAGCAGGCCAATATGTATGAGAAAGCTGTATGTTTTCTTGCAATACTTCTTCATAGGAATAGTCTTATTCTCTGTTTTCAATACAGAAAAATGGCTACAGCTGCAAACAGTACACTGAGACTACCGAGCAAGAAGTTCCCAAAGGTCACTGAGCAGTGCTTTTTAAGAAAAATATGCTCCAGAAGTCATTTTCTTTCAGTGACAGAACTCCTGCTCTGCATTATCTTTCCCCTCAAGACATAATGTAAAAGCAACGCTGCAGAGCACAGCAGTATTGTGCATGTTAGGAGGGAGAAAAGCAGGAGTTGATAGTATGAGATTCTCAGTAAGTAATGCATGTGGGCAGACAAATTCCCTCAAAACAGCTTTTATTTCAGTGGTGTGGAGGATATGTGGCTTTTCTGGTGAACAAGACTCAGTTGCAGCTTTCGTTCTAGGCTAATCTACATATTCTGTTCTCTTGGTGTGTGTTTTCCAAGTCTCTGATGTTTTTATGTTTAGCTTTTCAAGACATTCAAGCTACGTTACTCTGTGGAAGAATTATGTGTTATTTTGAGAGCGTTTAGGTTTTAATGAACACTTATTTAGGCTGAAAATGGGGGTGGTGGGGAGCAAAGCTTTTGATGAAGGGTGTTTCCCAGCACATTTACTTCACTTCAAGGAAGCCAGTGTCACTTTTATCTATAAAATGCATCCTAACATATGGTAACACAAACAAGGATACCCAAATTTTATTCCTTTCTTCATCTTAGCACCATTTTCACTGGAATAAAAAATCTTTTTTTCCCTTTTCTTTCAGTATGCTTTCTCTTCTGATTTTAAAATGTAAATTAAAGATCAAAGTGACCATTCCCAGTTCAAGCACACACGTGGTGTGCTCCCATACTGTTCTGTGAAATACGTTATTTGTGCACTCACGTTGTCTTTGTCTCAGCGACAGCAAAACTTTGATTTGAAGTATTCTTGTATTACTCAAAACAGCATGGGAGAAAGTCTGACATTCAGTCCTCGTTATTTGTTACTTCTCTCTTAACCCCTACAGCTTAGAATAAATTTTAGTCTCTTGAAATAAGGAATTCTAGTTACATTGTTTTGCTGAAACTAAAACATTCTGAATTGCTGGAGCTGGGCCTTTGTGCTTGGATGTTGAGTTAACAGGTTTTAAACATAGCAGCTCCCTATGGCATGTTCATGTCTTCGGTATTGAAACTTCGTTACTAATTGGAAGTGTCTCATGTTGGAAGTCTCCACCAAAATTTTCCTTGTGCTATTTTGTTCTTGGCTGTATGCTTATTGTAGTTAAATATATTGCCAATAAATATTTTTGCTTAATTTTGCTAGAAATGTGTAGAAATTTACATACTCTCCATTTGTAGCCTCGTTACTGTGAACAGTACCTGTTTTGAGAGTACTTGATTTCTGATGTGCATTTTCTTGTCTTTTTCTTCTCATAGAAAGCGATTTCTTCTCCAACTGTGTCACGCCTTACAGATACAACAAAATTCACGGGTTCTCACAAAGAGAGGTTTGATCCCAGTGGGAAAGGAAAAGGCAAAGCTGGCCGAGAAGATCTGGTTGATACTTCAGGATATGTATCTGGCTATAAGCATGCAGGCACATATGATCATAAAGTACAAGGAAGCAAGTAAGGCTTGAAGGTTTAAAATACAGGGGGAGAAAGGGAAAGAGAGAATATATTTTTAAGAATGACATAGATGAGTCCCACGTGTTTCAGTTATTGTGAATGCTAAGACTATGTGTTCAAGAAGTTTTTTTCAGAAACTGGAACTGATTTTAACATCTGCTGAGCAACTTGCAGCGTAGCACCACTTCATTACATTCCTTATGTGTATATTGGCAAAATAAAATGTACCAGTACAAAAAGGACATCATTTTGTTGAGCTCTTTAGACGAAAAGAAAAAAGCAATGTCAAGAGCTGTTATGCCACACTTTGTCAATCCGAGCAAAAAATAAAAAACAAATAAAAAAAAAATTCAAACATTCCTAAATATCCAGTTGCTCTGAGGTTGTAGAAGAGAACCCTCTGAAAAAAGGTTCTTTCATAGCAGCATTTCTGAAAAGTATGCCATTACTTAGGCAGTTTGATTTCACTACTGTTCTGGGGCTTTTAAAAAAATGTCTTTTATGGGATCTGGCACTTTCCTTAAAAGATTCAACAGTGTATTATTGTGGAGTAAGTTGTTGTATTATATAAGGCGCTAATCTGTAAATTTCATACACCATTTATGAAAAGAAAAAAAAAGGAAAAACATATTTTTGTGACAATACAGGTTCTGATGTATTTATGTCAGCAGAAGGAGGTGGCAAATACCAACCCTTACTGTCCTCGTGTCTATTCTTTCTGCATTGTTATTGTGTTTACTGTAGTGCGTTTCTGACTGGCTGGATTTAGATGGAGCTAATGTACTAACGTGGTGGGTGAGGAACAAGATCTTGCTAAGAAAGTCTTCTAGGTCTTTTTGTAGTCTGTTCTCAAATTTGAACTAATTATGCTTTAAAACCTTGAATATGACTAAACACTGCCAATCAGATTGCTATTAAGTGAATGTTGTGCACATGCATTGGCATATATCCCCTTTAAGCTCTAACACATGCAATGGAAGTTTATGGCCTTTTGTATTAAGGAAATATATAATATTAATATCCACATAATTAATTATAATGAATTGTAATTAATCACACAGAAAAATATACTGTTATACCCAGGCTACGTGTTCTGTTAGTTTTGTCTGAAGCCAAAGGATTTGTTTCTCTGTGCTGCCTCACTTGGGAGTGATTTTATTGATGGGAATAGCTTTATATTTCTATGGAAAAAACAACTGCATACATTTAAGGTACAGGCAGCTGGGTGTGACCTGCCTCTGGCTCAGATTGCCAAAACGAGTTAACAGGAATAAAAATCACTCTTCTTCTTCTTCTCCTTTTTTTTTTTTTTTTTTTTTTTTTTGTCTTTGTATATGTGTGCATACATATTACTGGTTAAACAAGAGAGAAAAGGCCAGTTCAATTTTCTGTGAGAGCTGAACAAGTACTCTGACGTATTGCTCTGTCTGTAAAATTATAAAAGATATATTTTGGAGTATTTAAGAACACCTTCTAGTAGTTTTGCTTTGCTTGTTTTCAAAAAGATGCACTGATTTTAATGTTTTGACTGTGGATAAAGGCTGATAAGTTTACAGTTTCTCTCTTACTCTGATCAGCATGCCTTTCAGAGTTATAAGCTGTATACTCTGATCTGTGTCATCACATTTCTTGCAGGTCACAATCTGTATTTGGCCTATATACAGAAAGCGCGCTGGTTTTCAGTCCCTAACTGTTCATGTTTTGTTTTTTTGACATTTGGCCTGTCTTGTAAGTCAGCCTCCAATGACCCTTTGAACCCATGCATCAGCCTGAACGCAAACAGCAATGTGCAAATACAAGGACTTCCTCATGAACTTGAAGATTTTTTGTTTGTTTATAATTTGTTTTGGTTTTTGTTTTGAGGAGGGAAGGAAGTTTGCCGAAGACTCAGCACATGCTATTGTAAGGATTTGAATATCTTTTTCCCATGATTGACTCTACTCATCTGGGAAGATTTTTGACGTATCTAAGGATGCTCAGGATGAGAAGCTTTTTGAAGTCTAACTAACTTATTGCTCTTGAAGAAAAGTTTCAGTGGAGTGAAGGAGCACACACTCCTTTGTTGCACTGCTTACCTGTCACACTCCGAAAAAGAAAACAGCACATTGTTATACAAGCAAAGATTAAATTTTTCCAGCATGGCAGTAGACTGGCTAACTGCAGAGAACCCTCTTTGTGATACAGCATTCATGCCTGTGCACCTCAGGAACACCCTGGGATAGGCCTGTAGCTTTTTTTGTAAGTAAAGAGGCTAAGTCTGTAACTCTTGACAAATCCTCAGCTAAATTACAGGCACGATCAATGCCCCTGTTCTTCCCGTTGACTCGGAGACCTAACTTATTGGTAGCTGAAAAGATCTGGACCCTGCTTGAATCAAAGGTGAGGTCTGGTCTATGGCAGAGCTCTTCCAACACGTTTTTGATCTTGCTGTTTGTTGCTAGCTAGCTGTCATGACAGGAATAGTAGGTGATACCTAACCTAAGGTGCACAAGTGATAGGCTTTCTAAAGTACACAAATGCAGATACCAAAATGTTACTGCAGAAGGAGGAATGACAGGTTAGAAAGGTTTTACAGACTTACTAGGTTTTAAATTGCTAGTCCATGGCATGAGCGAAATAGGCACACTCGTAAGATGTAGAAGGCATGCAAAAGAATTGGGAGTGGGGACAGATACACGCTGGCACTTGAAATGGAACAAAACTTCGTACTTGGAAGAGGCTGATGGAACTAGCCAGCAGTCTGCTAGAGCTTAACTTTATATTACAGTATGAAATTCCTGCAAGAACAAAACACTTTGGATGGACCTGATGCAAATTTGTGCAATGTATACAGTGATATATTAAGTTTTGGATCAGGACCTGAAAAAGTGCTTCAGATAGCATATGGTATTCTATTTTGAAGGACACACTTTTTCTTCTTCACTGCAGTTGGATAGCTTTAAATCTTTATCAAATCCATGAAAAGAAATTTGATATGACAGCGAAGAAAGGAAGTTGTGGCTGGAAAAGTAGTAATCGGTAAACATTTTCCTCTCTACACTTGATACAGAAGATGCAGGCTATGAATGAAAGCATAAAACTATAGAATCATAGATGCATCATGTATATCTGTGTATTAGAACTTCAGCCACTCATTTATGTTCTTACTTTCTCACTAATTTTGGTGGGTAGTGAAAAGCCTAAATAATAGCTTGAATGTTAGCCATGCTTGTTAATGTTCCAGGCCTATTTGGAAATGAAGCCAAGTGTGTATTTTATTGTTTGTTCATTGACTCTTCCCTGCACTGTTAGGACAGCAAGCACAGCTTGTAATTCAGAGATTATGGGAAAGGAGAGGTCAAGAGGTGGAGTAGAGCATGCTCATCATCCTGTGCACCATTATTCTAGACTACCTAAATGACATGCCTGAAGTAAGGACTTGTACTTAATAAGGTTTACGCTCATCTCCTTTTTTTGGGCATCTAAATTCATTCCTTCAGACTTTCCAGTCTGGTTTTCAGCAGCCCATCTGCAGTGCTCTTTTACGTGACGTCATCTATAAAACCCTACTATTCTTAATAATTTTGCTTTCAGTACTGCTGAACATTCTTTTGTGATAAACATGATCAAAAAGTTCAGGCAGCTTTTCGTGATAACTGTATTTAAGAACAAACTCAAATTATACCGTTTATTTAAAATTAAAGCCTTAGATACTGTAATAGTTCGCAATCTTAATAAGACTACCTATACCAGATTGAGAACAACAAATTCAAATCCTGACTGAGGCAAAAGAGTAATATTATGGGAAATCTTAAGTAAAATGTGCGGAAGAATTTTTTTAATTATTATTATTAGCTCTTGTTTGCTAATTCCTCTACTCATTCTTTGTGCTTTAGTTACTTGTTGAGAGTTTTCCAACAGTCATACCCGTATGGAAAATCAGAAACAAGAATTACTGTCCTTTATATGGCTATCAAAGCTATCACAGTATTATTACTGAAAGGCAGACATTGAATTATATGTTGTTTCAACAGTCCAGCGTGAACATTTCTGATTAATTGTAACAAAGTACTTGGAAGACCAAAGGAAATGCGGAACATTGGCCACTTTCTTACTTTAGGAAAGTGAAAGGGTAATTTCCAAACTACTGATGTGTCACACCTTGTTCTTCATTAACATAGAGGTTATCCTTCAAAGATATTTTTGATTAAAGTATGATATTTTTAATGTATTTTACTGATATTACCTCAATCAAAATTTCCTCTGATAACTTTTTGGAATCATGAAGTTCATGTATTATTTATTTCAGTCATGTTTTCCCTCTGTTGGCTCAATTAATACCATTTTTATAGCAGATGGAATTCATTGATAACCCAGAACTAGAGTATATGACTAGTTAAGAGTTTGGCTTGCAAGTGAGAGGTATCAAGAGAGTCCTTGTGTATCCTTCTCCAAACCCAAACCTTTAAAGTTGTAGTTAAGAAAGTTTTTTTTCTTAAGCCTTGTCATAGTTACAAAATAAACTTCAATTATTTGTGTCTGCATGTGTGATAAGTATCAGCTGTTTGGAATATAAACTAGCTTTACAGAAATTGCATGTATTCTGGGGGCATGCGCCTGTCATCCGTGAGTAAGAATTCTCTGTTAGCACTGGCCAAGAAACAAACCATTTACTCTCATGATAGATAAAATGTAATGTGTTGCACCTAGTACATATCCTTTAAACTGACTGTTAGCCTTGCGTGTGCACTACAATAACTACAGCTTTGTGTACATTGTTTGTAGTGTGGATATTACGTTCTTTCTTTGTCTGTTAGTTGATGGTAGGTAATGTAATACATGAGACTTGTACAAGTTTGTGTGCACACATACTTTCTAGATTCAGATAAATAATTAAACTGTGTAGGCACTGTCCTAAACCTTAAATCTTAAAGGGCCAAGCTCTTATCCTGCAACTGGAGCTATTCAGGGCCAGTTGGAAATGCTACCATTCTATCTCCATAGCATGAAAGGAGGGATCT